CATCATTGGCGGCCTTGCCACCGTCACTTTTGCGGCGGTTTACTGCTACATTCGGGTCACGCGGAGAAAGGAGGGCGAGAATCGTTGAAAATATCACCATCTTCTCTTCCTTTTTTTCATTTATTTACTTTTAGTGATTATAGGTGTGAATAATAGAATATTAATTTAAATTCAAATTTTATATATATATATATATATATATATATTTAATTTAATTATGAAGTAATGGAATTCGTTTCAATCGCCGATGACCAGTTGGTTATAACTGCTACAATGTATGTTGTTACGAACCTATAAAGATAATGTTTGGTATGCATACGGTAAAATATATCGGGGCACAATTTTGAAAAGTTTTTTAAGCGTTAATAATTTATCTAAAATCTTCTTAATCCAAGAGTTAGATTCCACATGAATCTTGGTGGGACGAAAAAGTGTTTTTGTTGTTTTAGTCGGTCCATGTCCCAGTTTAATATCGTGTAGAAAAGTAGGGTCGGACTTGTGAAGCCAATAGAAATTCTGTGTACCCGTTCAACTTATTTTTACAAATGAATTATATTTTGGTATGAAAGGTTTATTTCTTAAACTTTAAGGGGTGTTTTGTGGTATTAAAAAATACCAAAAAACACTCGAAAAATCACGGAATCAAATAAAAAACCAAAAAATATAATAAAATCACATTTTTTTATGTGAATTAAATTTATTGAAATGATATTAAAGAAAAGTATGAAGAACCGTGAGAGGGATCCACACGTTAATGCCGGATCCAAGAATATCAAATAAAAAAACAAAAAGAAAAACATTCCAAGGATAAATAATTAATATTAAAAACCCCTTTTCAAAGATAATAATTTTGTAGAGTGAACTACCCCAAGTCTATATATAATTGGAAAATCATGGCTTCAATGATTCAACATATGATTTTGTGGTCAGTGGTTGATGCAGACGAATATATTGTAAGGGGTATGATATAAGATAAAATATTTTGAAATCTTTTACTTATCGGCTGGATTCCAAGGAAGATCATTCAAATCAATTTCGTAAGACATCGAATGAGCAGAGCTCGATTCAGGTTTTGATGCTTTCCTTTTAAAAAATCTTTCCATTTTTTCTAACAATAATAATAACAAGATAAAAATCAATGGTTTATCTTTATCAACAGTAACATTTTCATTTGCCTACGAAATTGCGAAATTAACCTAAGATTTTCATTTGCCTACAAAATTGCAAATTAACTTAACATTCCAATTTACCTATAAAATTGCAAAATTAACCTATAAAATTGCAAAATTAACATAACATTTCCATTTGTCAACAAAATTGCAAAATCAACTTAACATAACCATTCACCAAATCACCAATTATGAAGCAAACAACAAAATCAAAGTCATTTAAAAATTAAAGATTGGAAATCAAAACTTTAACTTTTTACCCAAATTGGAGTAGCCACCTTAAGCAAACAGTGGGCAGTGCACGGTCACAGTGCACTGCTATCCAGGAAGCAAGGAAGAAGCAGGAAGAGGGAAGAGGGAGGTAGCAGTCGAGCAGTAGCTATAGCAATGTGCAAGAAGGCGAAAGCAGGAACCAAGAAGAAGCAGTGGCAATGTACAGCCAGGCGCCAGCAGTCATGGAACTTGGATGAAGGTGAAGTCGTGGCCTCGTGGGATGGACTAGTGAAACATGGAAATGGAAGGCTAAATGAATTATGGACTTGGTAGTGGGGCCTCATGATTATTTTATTGGGGGCCCAATCATATAAAGGTAAAAATTATAGTTTTTGTATCCGCCACTGGTTGTGGTTATGATTTGAATTTTGATGATGTCTATATATATTTTTAAAAAATTTAGTAATGAACATGAAATTTTTATAGTAAAATACGGTTTTTTGTCTCTGTGATATGTTAAAATTGCGGATTTCATTCATGTTTCACAAAACTGTAGTTTTTGTCGTCATGGTCTGAAATTTATTGCTATTAATGTTTATACGGTTAACTCCTACTTTTAATTATTAAGGGAGGAAAAAACAATAAATTGTAAATACTAGAGATGGAAACAATAATAAATTGTAAAGCATAAAGATGAAAATCGTAATTTCAAAAAAACAATGATGAAAATTGCACTTTTCAATAAATCACAAGGACTAAAAATCACAATCTCAAAAACATAGGGAGAAAATTTGTAACTTTCTCTCTTTCATTTTTAGAGGTAAACTAATTATTAAACACGAAAGAACAAGAGATGATGGTTACATTTTTTACAAGAGGTAGAAAAAACCAATAAACCCCAAGAAGAACAAAAGCACCATTGAAGAGGATGACTGATGTAAGGGAGAAAAGCAAAAGAAGACAACCAACAGAGAGACTTAGACCGAAAACATAAGTTCAATTTAATTGGAGAAAAGAACCAAGTGCAAGCTATAATGTCAAATCCTTCCTTGAATGAATCTTGTGTTTTTTTTTATGGTGAGTGTCATGCTTTTGAGAGTTGTCCTGGTAATCCCACTTCGGCGCTTCGGTGAATTATGTTGGGAGTCATGCTAGAAATAGACCGTAGCTTTGACAAAAGAGAGTAGTGCCTCCTCACTTGCAAGATTCCACCACAACTAAAAGACATGAGAAGTTTCACAATCTCATGTCCCATAGGAGGAAATGAAGTAGGTCATACCCTTTTGATATTGGAGCAAATATAAATCTCATGCCCTTGTTAGTATTTAATAAATTAGGGGTAGAGGAATTCTGACCAACCACCGTGACTTTGCAATTAGCGGATAGGTCTTTAACTTATCCAAAAGGCAAAATTGCAAACATTTTAGTTCAAGTTGACAACATCATTTTCCAGGCCAACTTTTTAGTTTTAGACTATGAAGTCGATAAGAACATCCCCATCATTTTGGGATGGCCATTTCTTGCCACGGGAAAGACTTCAGTTGACGTCCAAAACGGTGAAGTAACCATGAGGGTAAATAACCAAAAAGTGAACTTTAAAGTTTTAAAGGCCCTTAAGTCATATGTTTAATTGGAACAATGTTTAACCATTAATCTTTTAAGTGAAGATCTAGGTCTAGATATTGAAGAGTGTGGTGAATATTTTGAAGAAGACGGTGAGAATGAGAGAAAATTTGAGAGTCCGCCAATGAGAGTGAATAAAATATGAAAGAAGTTAGGTTGAGCCACCAAAAACACAAGAAAAATGGTTATTGTCAAAGGGTGTGCCTTCACCCCCATTACGTCATCTTAAAAATTCAAGCGTTGGGTTAGAAACAACCCTTGTAAATAGGTTTTTTTTTTCTAATTTCAGTAGGACTAATTTTGTGTTTATGTTTTTGTGTATTTGTCGGAGCTAGTCGTGAGCGAAAATGTACTCGCAGTGGGATCTTGTGCCCACAATGGTGTTGCATTAATTTGAGCTGGAATTTTTAATTAAAAAAGTTTATCCCGCCTTTCAAAGTATTTCTACCAACAAAAACTTGATTTACTCACAACCGAAACGTGCTCAATAAGTTCATGAAACTCTCTGATTCTCAGTAGTCAAATCCTTGTGGAAATGATCCTGATACCATACCACTTTATTACTTGTAACGATCATAGTGTCGGCATGCATTTGCACCACCAATGTAAGGACTTTGTGCCAAATATAACGAAAACTTGAAGTTGGATTTTATAACAACTAAATATATGCACTTTGAAAATAAAAGTAAAAAACGACACAAGAAATTTTGAATGCGAAAAACCTAACGTGGATAAAAACTGCAGACGACCATTAGGGTCGTCAATAAACTAAAGACCATGGACACCAATAACGTGTGTTCACAATGAAGTTGTAAGTATTGAATACCTGTAAGAAGTGGGTTTTTATCTCTTGGAATGTAATGTCACGTGTCCTCTTGATTTGGTTGCTCTGATTTTTATTTCTTCCTCAATATAGCTGTTACTTTTCATTCATAATGCCTGGAAATAATATTCCCGAGCGTTTGATTATATTCGTAATTCCTGTTGTCGACTACATATTATGTATTGATGGTGAAATCCATTGACTATATCTTCGCATTTGTGTTTCCTTATAATGGTACCTGTAATAATCAACAAACAAGAAACTGATTTACTGAAGGTTTATTTTGTCATTTTGATTTACACGTCTTGGTATGAGATTAAGGTGTTGGAGGAAGTTCCTCAAAGAGATTAATATGCTCTTGATTCACTGTGATTAATATGTCTCGCTGTATTCTTACTTGATTTCCAGAAATCATTTTGATTCCCAGGATTCAAGACTTAAGACTCGGTCCAGGTAATAATTGCTTATGTAAGTGTATGTTACATAGCTGATATTGCATTGTATGTATGTATGCATGCATTTATGTAATTTTGGCTACATGTATATGGGAATGATGAAGATGATCATGTGCAGCTTCTGAAAGCTTTCACCCTTTGTGTCTACTGGGTTTTTGATTGGTTTCTTTCACAATATGACGTGATACAATTGTTGTATTGGAAGTTGTCCATGGATTATCTTTTTCAACTTAATCTTAATTAATAACACGCTATTTGGTGCTTGTTGAACTTCTGTGCAACAATTGTTAAGTTAATGTAATATATTTACCATCTTATCTTTCTCTTTAATTGCTTATTTACGTTTTTATGAAGTTGGTTTATGTGTATTTACGATTTAGAGATCAGTCTAACTTGTGTTTGGTAATCAACAATCTCTTAGTTGAAGTACACAAAGACAATATTAACGAGACACCATCAACAATCTCTTATTTGACGAAACTGTAGGGATGACAAATGTTATAATTGATAAACCATAGGGACCAAATTTGTAGTTTAGTCTAACATTTAAAATAAATTAGAATACAATGATAACAATAACGATATTTAAAATACAGTTTGAAAAATAAAATAATTTCAAAAATTAAAGCAAATTATAAAAGCAATCCTTTCGAAGTTGATTAAGCGTTCAATAAACAGACAAAACCGTCAGCTTGCGTACCTGTAATTTTCTCTGCAATGAGTAAAGCCGTATTGTTCATCACCGCCACAATACTTCTCGCCGTCGTAATCGCCGCCACCTTCGGTTCCCACCACCACCACCACCAGCTGCCACGCCATCCAAAAGACTCACCGTTCGATTTCACGTCGAATGCCTCCCAGTTACTCAGATCAAACGGATTCACCTTCATCGCCACCCTCCTCCACATCTCGCCGGACCTCTTCCTCTCAACGCCACAGTCGACAATCTTTGCCATCCCTGACTCCGCCATGTCCAACCTCTCCATTCCTCCGTACATGACGGTACAACTCGTCACTTACCACATCTCGCCGTCCAAACTCACCATTCATGATTTGTTTCAGAAACCCGTCAATACCTGCATCTCGACGATGTTTCAACAACAGAAGATATCCATCACCAAGAACGACGAGAAACATCGAGTTCTTGAAATCAATAAGGTCTTGATTACTCATCCAGATATGTTCGTCCAGGGACCAGTCTCCATCCATGGCGTCGGTGGTCCGTTTGCTTCTTTCAAATTTCATCAAGAAATCACGGAGTTGCCGATCTGCAACACGAATCAGAGTGAACTTTCACACAGCACTGTTGGTGGTAAAGTTAATGGCATCAAGAAGAAGGCTGAGTGGGGAATGGTGGTTAGATTTCTCAGTTCTGCCGGTTTCACCCCTTTTGCACTTGCGTTGTATTCTGTTATTGATGGGATTCTTAAAGATCATCCAGATTTGAATTCTACGACGATATTTGTACCTCCGATCATGGAAATGGTGGAACTGCCGTCTAGTCTGCGGCATAAATTCATGAGATCTCATATAGTCCCTAAGAAGCATTCTTACAAACACTTGGCGTCCTTACCCGAAGGAACATCACTGACGACATTATGTCCAGGTAAAAAAATCGAAATCACTGAAACTGTAGTTAATCTTTCCGATGAGTTACTGGTTATTAATAGAGTGGAGGTAACTTCACCGGATTTGTTGTTGTCGAAGAGTTTTGTTGTACATGGAATCGCACGACCATTCGCCATGGAAGAGGCTTCTAGTATTTCCAAATAAATCACACCAATGGTTCATATATTGCTTGTGTTTTTGTTACTTATTTATTAGTTTCTTGATTTTTCTGCATGTTTTCTTGGAATCTTGATTTTGCTTCACCTTATATACACACACACACACAGAGACCAATCGGTTCATATATGGCTTGTGTTTCTGCAACTTGTTTAATCAGGGGTGGGGATATTTTCATTCATAATTCATAATTATACTCAATGATTTACATCATCATTCAAATTTATTTTTATTTATTTATTATTAACTAGTTGTGTATCCGGGGAAACCGTGAATTTTAACGATTTTAAAACTTTTCATTGGTTTCATTAGAGAAGATTGAACGATGATATAAGTTACGCTTGGTCTTTACATATTAATACAATTTGGATAAATAAGAGTTATGGTTCCAATTACAGTTTATCGATGAAAAAAAAATTGTATGACATTTTAAAATCCAATATATTTAAACGACTCCATAAATGTGTTTCATTTACACAAAGAGCAAAGAATCAAGAGATCAAGAGAGAGACCGAGAGTTTTAGAGCAATTGAATGGGAGATGAATGAAAAAAACTTTTAATAACTCATGGTGAATATGAGTTTGAATCTCACGTTGGGGGATAAGAAGAAGACATAGAGGTATGAAAAAATGAAAACATGAGTGAAAGACGTCAAAAATATCTTGGGAATATGAAAAGAAAATGTAATAATGTGCATTGATAACTTGTACTATATGTTATTTTAATTATAGATTAAGAAATTTTAAAATTGAATTTATAAAGTAGTAGTATTTAATGCATTATGAGTTGTTTTTAAGATTTTGTGCATAAATGTATAGTACTTTATGCATTAAAAATTAATTTTAAGACTTTTAATAAATCTAGTTTATAATATAATATAGATAATAATCAAACTATTATTATTGTGAAAGTGTAATTATCATCATGTTAAATATTTTTTATTTATA